CCAAAAAAAAAAAAAAAAAACAAAAACAAAAATAAGCCTTTTGGCCCTTTAAAATTAATGCCAATGTTAAAGCAATCCCCTTCTCTCTCTCTCCAAATTCTATTCCATGGTGAAGAAAAATATGAAATTTTGTTCATCATTCAATTTATGTTTTAGCAGCATTCTTTTGTTGATTGGCAGTCATTGACGATAGCATTCTTTTGCAATTTATATTATATATCATATCGGTTACTTTATGTAACCATTATCACTGTAAAAGAACCAGAGCCAGTTTTAGAAAACATTACTTGGGCAACGAAAAGCTGTTTTATTGACATTTCTGTTTTTCACCTTTTCATAAGGTTGATGAGGATAGACATCGAATTTCTCTGGGGATGAAGAGGTCATATCTTGGGGATGATATAGACACTCAAACGCCATCAAGACAAAGGTCTGATGATGCCATTGAAGATAACGATTTAGTCGGCACTGAGTCAATGCACCAGAACAATATATCTAAGATTAAGAATGTGGATATTTTATCTGAAGTGGAAGAACATCCCATTCTTGCTGAAATGGAATCAAGGGCCTCTGTACTTCCACTTGAGGTTCCTCTTGATGATGAAGACAACTCAGAGATGGATAATATTGTTAATCAACAGAGAGAGTGCATTAATGAAGCAAAAACCATAGATGAGAAGAACAAGAAACTGGCACAGAAGAAAACAAGGGAAGATAGGTAATAGTTTTATTAAACAAAGTTGAGTTGTTTTTCAATTGTACGAGGGCTAGTTGTTTAGATTTTAAATCTTCCCATACACTGAAACTCTTCTGTTCAGGGAGCGAGAGATCAGGGCTGCTGAGGAAAGACTACTTGAGAAAGATGTACCAAAGAGTGCTGATGAATTTGAGAAACTGGTTCGAAGTTCCCCGAATAGCAGCTTTATCTGGATAAAATACATGGCTTTTATGCTCTCTCTGGCTGATGTGGAGAAGGCCCGCTCAATTGCTGAGAGGTGCTATTTAAGTCCTACTAGCATGTTATTTGCAGTTGAAACCACTTTCATGTTCTCTTCTGTGCTTTTATTTTTTTTCAACCTAAAAAAGAAAACAAAAAAGGGAGAACATGTTCTATTAGAAAGAAAAACCACTTATCAAAAGATGGAGGTGAGGAGGGAAAGAACTTCTGCAGCAGGCTGAGATTTTATTAATACTTCTCTGAAAGGTGCTACTTCCAAGTTGGAATAGTCTTCCTAAACCATATGTGGAGGAATTTGATGGTACTCATTATCTCACGATACACAATACAATACGATACATACAATATATTTTGATATAGGAGTAAAACGACATGTTTCGCTTAAGTTTATTGTTTTACAAGATAAATGATACATATCGTATGATACTATTCAACACATGATATGCGTTGTTTAGTTTCAAAAAGAAGAAAATAATGAAAATAGAAAGACAAAAAAAAAAGGGTAGATGTCCTATATAATTTGTTCATAGGTTTGTTAATTTGTGAACTCATCAATCATTTTAATAGTTTATGCAATTTATATTCTTAGTGTGGGGCCTAGAAATATTTTGTCAAATAAGAAAACTGGAGAAAAGCAAGTAGTTGAAAAAAAATAATAAAAATGATGAAGACATACAAAAAGTTGAAAAAGATAGAGGAGGTGAAGACTTGTTGGTATCCAATGATGAAGATATTGACAACGTTGAAAATGAAGATCAAGATGAATATGTGAGTCATTGGACTCTTAAGAATAAATTGCTTTGGATTTTGTTAATCTTTAAATTTTGATATTGATAAATTCTGTTGTATACTTGAATTTTTATATTTTGTTATGAATCTTGGAGTTTTTTTTATCTTTTATGGAATTTAAGTCGAAATATGATGCGTTTCGATATGCTAATATAAGAAAATGAGAATATATGTTTTGACAATCTTGATTGTGCTCTTCATTTAAGAACAATTCAAGTCCAGTCTGCCTTGAAATGGCCACATGCTTTTGATCAAATTACTGGGAAGAGCCCAATTTGAGACTCAAATAGTCGAATAACCTACTAAAACATAGAAAAGCTTCACAAGATGACTAATTGATGGAACCCCACTTAAGCAGCTTCCTGACTTAAGACGGCTTAGATTGTGCCCATTTGTAAGTTGCTCTCTTTAAGGAAATTAATAGCACCAGAATCACTTAATTTGCGCAGCGACATTGTAACTATTTGGGCAAGCTCGAAAAACTGGGAGCTAAGTTTGAGCCAGGGTTCGAAAACCCAATCGAATTTGAATTCGGGTTTCGGATTTTTCAAATTTGTATGAGTTTGAACACCCATTGTCCTGATTTTCTTCATTTTTTTTCCCTTTTATCTTTATTTCCTCAGTTTACAGCCGCCCTGTTGTCAGATCTATATGTTTATAGTTTCTTCATTTCTTTTTTCCTTTTTTTTTTCTTTCCACGGTTTACCTTTTTATCTCTTCATTGCATAAGTTGTATATAAGAAAGAAATTATTACTTTTCTATCAGCAGAAACTGTATTATTCAACTTAAGAAGCATGATTGGCCATTTCTCAATTGAACCAAACAGCTGTGTTCTACTCCTCCCTACCTACTTGAGCGAGCTCTTTCTATCCGGTCCTATCTCTTACTTCTCTAAAAGCTGGATCTATCTCTTCTTCCGAGTCGTACCTCACGAAAACTACTGATTTCTTACAGTCGGGACATCGCCCCACCTGTTTTGGTGAAATAAAAAAGATTCATGCATATAGCGCCCATTTCTCTAATTTTAATTTGGGCTCAATTGTAAAAGGATTGTGCATCCAGAAGCTTTTGTTTACTTTTATAATTTTGTGACAGTTAATACTTTCACCTCACTGTCCCATTTACTTTTTGAAGGGCTTTGAGGACAATAAATGTCCGAGAAGAGTCCGAAAAGCTGAATATTTGGGTTGCATATTTTAATTTGGAGAATGAATATGGAAATCCGGCTGAGGTATGAAAAGAAATTTTCATTTGTTGTGTCATGGTTTTGACTTACTTTCAGATTGGTGGTTTTACTCAGTTTTTTGTGATATAAGTTATTTTAATTCTTCATTTTAGGATGCTGTTTTGAAAGTATTCCAAAGAGCCCTGCAGTATTGTGATCCCAAAAAGGTGCATGTGGCACTGTTGGGAATGTATGAAAGGACTGAGCAACACAAGTTGGCTGATGACCTTCTTTACAAGATGGTCAAAAAGTTCAAGCAGTCATGCAAGGTATTCAACAATGGACATGTATTTATTTCTTCCTATATTTAGTGTAGCCGTTAAACTCAACTTTGTGTGTTCTAGGTTTGGCTACGGAGAGTTCATTGGCTCTTAAAGCAAAACGTTGATGGAGTCCAGTCTACTGTAAATCGTGCTCTTCTAAGCCTTCCCCGACATAAGCATATTAAGTTCATCTCACAGACAGCTATTCTTGAGTTCAAGACGGGGGTTGCTGACAGAGGGCGGTCTATGTTTGAGGGAATGCTTCGGGAGTATCCGAAGAGAACTGACTTGTGGAGTGTTTATCTTGATCAGGTACTCCTTTGTTTTCCCTTTTGCTTGTTAATCTTTGGTCAAACTATGGTGTCCTATCTTAAATTTTTCTCTTGTACTCAACAGGAGATTCGACTCGGTGACATGGATCTGATACGTGCTCTATTCGAGAGGGCAGTAAGTTTGAGTCTTCCACCTAAAAAGATGAAGGTACACGCTCAAATGATCGACCTTCGCCCTCATTACCTTCTGCTGAACTATAATTTCATTTTCTTCTTGTTCTTAGGGCCTTTGCATAAATGGTTCATTGTCTTGTTTTGCAGTTCTTATTCAAAAAATATCTCGAGTATGAAAAGTCTGTCGGTGATGAAGAACGGATAGAATCCGTGAAGAGGAAAGCAATGGAATATGTCGAGAGTACTCTTACTTGATATTGGTTTTTTAACTTACAATTTTGCGGGTATCGTACCAAGAGGAAGCAGATGGGCAGAGTTATGTATATGTACCAAAATTATTAGTATTGAACGCTGTTTCATTGTTGAATATGAAATATGAATGCAAAAAATTGAAGTGAGAATAACATTGACCTCCCCTATCTGTTGTGTTGATTTCAATAGGTATTCTTATAATTTTTTAAAATAAATCGGCATCATATGTTAAGGGAATGTCGAAAATGGTCGTTAGCAGAGAATTTTTTTAAAAAAACTAACCTTATCACATAAATGAACTGAAAATGAATTACAGCCAAATGGACTTAAACCTGTACAAGACAACATAATTCACATCTGGGACAACTTGAAGATTACAACCAAACACACCAAATATTAAGCCTCTCTCTCTCTCTGGCACACACACACCACATCCGGTGACCTCTCGCTCCACCCCGCCTCCGCCACCCATTCACAGCCACGCAGGCACACACACGCACTTCCCCTAGTTCCTAGCAATTCATTACTTTACATCTTCAACATCCAATCTAAAAACATGTACCTTCTATACCCCACTTAGAAGATGATCACTGGCTAGGCATCGAAATGGAGAACTTTCTTCAAAACAAGTAGAAGCTGAGATGGAGCACTTAGCTGAGGAAAATGACCTTTTGTCTTCAATATTTTGATCCTTGCAGGAGCACCAAGCCTTCCCTTCATGTAGAATGCAACAGATAGTGGGGCAACGATATCTTCCTCAGACAGGATAATGGTGCTAGGTACATGAACACGCGGCAAAACCCGTCTTTCGTCGCTCAGATATACAGTTTTAGCGACGCTGAGCACGATCTCCGGTTTCATTCTTCCTAGGCTGTGTTCAAACTCCGCTACTGCAGCTGTGTTCTTCACTCCCACGGCTTGTGGAGCAAAAGCTTTGATCCATCCTGAATAGTTATGTTGTATGTTGCTGAGTATTGTGTCAAGTTCAGATCTGTTAAAGCCGCCATAATATCCTTCAGTGTTGAGGTACCTAAAAAAAACAGAATATGATTAAGGTAGGTCTGTGAAATACTAGAGAGAGTTTTCAAGTGAAGGTGGACCTACTAGGAACAGATTGTATACAGATCAATATGAATGGAAGTCCACATTTTCATTTCAATTCAATCTATGTGTTGCATGTGGAGATAAGGTGACATCAACCTTTCCCAAACTCCATATTAGTGGGAGTCTCGTGCATTAATCTACCCTATTACGATGTATGCATGTAATGTGAATGGTGGGAAGGTCATACATATGCAAATGCATATATTGCAGATGGATATGTATTCACAGATGAGTACATTTGCAAAAATGAAGGTAGTTATGGTTGTCGATTAGAATGTAAATTTTTGGGATAGTGCATTGAAGTAAAAAAAACATGGATGAANTGGATATGTATTCACAGATGAGTACATTTGCAAAAATGAAGGTAGTTATGGTTGTCAATTAGAATGTAAATTTTTGGGATAGTGCATTGAAGTAAAAAAAACATGGATGAAATCAATGAAGTTAACAATAATATATGTCACATGCACAGACAACCAGTGCACAAGGCTCCTGTCTGTCTGAAAAGTGAAAGATCTGCGTGGCTTCATACAAACATACATGCATGGATGCCAGAAAAATGTATTCAGTTCCATGAATGTCTATTGGTGTATATTGAATATTTTAGAGAGAGAGAGAGAGAGAGACCTGGGAGAGCCACTGAGTAGAATGAGATGTTCAAATAAGTCCGGCCTCTCAGTTGCAGCTATGCATCCAATCATGGCTGACATGGAGTGACCCAGAAAGATAGTCTTCTGCAAATGGAGCTTGTCAAGAATGGAAGTCAAATCTTGAGCATAGGAACTAAAATCCGAGTATCTTTGTGCATCATACAGTTTGGGATCGACCTTTGATGAGAAAACCAAATCAAACACCACCACCCTGAAATAGTATGCAAGAACAGGTATGAGATAGTGCCATACAGTCTGGTCACAGCCAAAACCATGAGAGAGAACAAGTGTTTGAGTGCCATTTCCATAAACCCTTGTGTTTAGAGCTTCAACAAGACCTACTCTACATTCACTCATTGCATCCATGTTTTCTACAGGCAACTTAACTGTGAAGGAAATACACACAATTATATAGGGATGGAAGTTGGGTGGGTGGGTGGGTCAATCTGAACTAATCCAAGTCCATCCACTAAATTTTAATATTTGGGTAGAGATTTTTGATAATTAAATTAGGTCGGAAAAAAAACAGTCAAACTCGCTTTATATGTTGACAGTATTTGGTTGTATTGGGTTCTCATAGCCTAACCCGCATTGGTGAATATAGGTTGAATCCTAATTCGACCCTTTCAATTTGAGTTGTGTAATGAGAATCAAATCCAATTTCGACATGAATTGAACTTGAATTTCAACCTATTATATAGCTCGACTTTCTTTTTTTGAACTGATATGTAGTTCAAGTTCAAAACATAAACATGGACAATATCAAAGCCGAAGGATTGTATTGAACTTGTATTCAAGTTGTGCTTGAGTTAAAGATTTTATAACTCGGGGGTGAGCTCGAATTAACCTTTCAACTTGGTCACCCTGCCCAAATTACGCCCCTATGTGTACACCGAAAGAGCGGTGGCTTTAGCTATTGTCGACCAAAGAACTAGGAGTGGATCCCATTGCTTAGAGCCTCCTTACATAATTACATGTTTAAATAAATAAAAAATAAAAAAGATTTAGGACGTTATGTTAAAGTTTAATTGTGTATAAGTATCACATACATCAAAAAAAATAGATTAGAATCAAACTTAAGATGCAAAGATATTTTTTTGGGTTAATAATAAAATATCCCTTTCAATTTTGGATAATTTACCATTCACCCTTTCAGGTTTTAATTTTAACAAATAATCTTTATAATTAACTCTAACAATTAATTTTAGACCATAAAAAATAACGTAAGTTTGACATAAGGAATTAACATGATCTCTAATTTGTTAGAAATACACAATTACCCTTTAAAAAGACTGTGTGTGTGTGTATACGCNTGATCTCTAATTTGTTAGAAATACACAATTACCCTTTAAAAAGACTGTGTGTGTGTGTGTATACACACTCGTGTACGTGTTAGATGGAGGCGGAGGCGAAAGTGAAGGCGAACATGGTGTTAGACAGTGCATTAGTGTTGAGCTGAACAAATATATATGTGTGTATATTATTTTTTTTTAGCCTTTTCGTTTCCTTATTTTTTTTAGGAATAAAATTAGTATCTCCANTGTGTGTGTATACACACTCGTGTACGTGTTAGATGGAGGCGGAGGCGAAAGTGAAGGCGAACATGGTGTTAGACAGTGCATTAGTGTTGAGCTGAACAAATATATATGTGTGTGTATATTTTTTTTTTTTAGCCTTTTCGTTTCCTTATTTTTTTTAGGAATAAAGTTAGTATCTCCAAAAAAAAAATATGAGAAATAATATATAAGATGGAGGGTATAATGGTACTTCAAGTTGCAACTATTGGTGTCGGTCAATTTAGTCCGCTTGAAACTTGGAAGGAGCACATTGTAGCATTTGAAACCATAGATAATTGATTGCAACAACAGACATAGTTTAAAAGAGACAAATTGTAATTAACTTTTTTTTTTAATGTTTGAACAAAATATCGGAAGATTCCATTCGAACTTTTATTATTAGTCTCCCTCTAGATGACGAGTAATATTATTAAGATTTAAAAAATTAATCTAATTTATTAATTTAATATAATAACAGCGATATAATCTAATGATATATTATTATGATCATCTTTTGAACTTCTTCAAAACAGTAATGATAGCCACAGCCTTTTTTTAAGGACTAAGCTTGTCCTTTGCATGAATGCTAGCGATGGAAATTTGGACTTGCAACAGCCTCTGCCATGCAACTGTATCATGATGTTTGTCATATGCATTAAAAGATAAATATTACATGATTCAAATTAAACTCAAAAAATATAAATATAAATATAAATAATTTTTGAAAATGAGTGAATCCTATCAATTTTTTTAGTGAGACTCACTTATCTAGTGCTCATATAAAAAATAATACACATTTGAGTTCTATTTAGATTGTATATCATTTTTCACATTAAAAATCTACAACTAACATCCAACAACCTTTGCCGCCATAGATTTTATTGTTGTTTGTTCATTTTCATCTTTTTGAATTAAATGGTTGCACCAGAACGTGGCTTATACTCAGCTTTTCGAATTGAATGGCTGTGGACCTGTTGTCAGCTTTGATATTTTAACTCCAGCTTTTTGAGTTTTGTTCTAAAAATAGTTATAGTTATAATAATACTATTCTAGACTTTAATTTCTATCCGAACTTCACGTGAATCCTAAGGTTTACGGATACTCAATAATTTTTTGACACGTCACCAACATAACTAGAAAAAACAAGGAAGCGATCGTTTAGAGTCTTTGGACCATCAAACTCCATCTTTTTCCTAGTGACAATCTTTCACCGTTCAACTGCAATTTCATTTGTCATTTTCTTTTATTCTGTAAATGTGGTGAGTGCAAATATTTTGTAAACTAAATGAACATGGAAGCCTTGAATTTATTTGCTAGTAGCAATAAGCTTCCCCTTTCTTGAATGTTTGACTGAAGATAAGAATCCACCTAGCGGATCTTTTTGTAAATTTATAAATGTGCTTTGTGACCTATTTGACAGATAATGGTTGTGAAGTTTGTAACGTTTAAAAGCGTTCGGTGGGTTGAGGTATTTGCTTTGTTGTTTTGGTCCTTTGCTTTGAACACTAGATTTTGAGTTTTGGTAAGATCCCAAAATTATTTTTTGTGATCCTTTCATTCTTGCTCTTTCTTTGTGCGAGTCAACTGAACCACATTTGAGTTAACCATAGTTAGTTCCAAAGTGTGACTCAATTGATTGCCTGCAAACCAATTTAAATCGGTGTTGAAATGTTTTTGCCTTTTCTAATTATGTTGTTGATGTGTCAAAAAATCATTGGGTATCCATAAACCTTAAGATTCACAGAGTCTGAATAAAATTTAAACTCTTCGAACATATCAATAAATGCATTTCTAGGTCAGTGTATTAAGTATTTATCATAAATAGTGTTGTCTTGCTTAAGAAAGAACATGTTTTTCGTTGGATCATGGATGTGTTGTTACATTTTTGTTGTGACATTATCGTTGATACATTTATGTTACAGTAGTACGGGCATTTGAACATTACCAACTCTGTATTTTTTCTTGAAATTCTTCTCAATTCTTTGGCTGGTCGAGAGTTCGAACACTTGCATTGGCATTCAAACGCTAGTGACTTTCTATTCCAACTTCTGGCTTGATTTTGACCTTGTTATTAGTCAATTCATGAAATTTTTATGAACTAAACTTTTGTAACCCTTGAAATAAAATTTCTAATTTCAAATATTAGATCAATAGGAAGTTCAAGTAAAAAGTTATAGCTAAAATATTAAAATAGTATCAAATTCCTTTGTATCTAAATTCTCCCCAATATGCATTTGAACTACGGAATACTTCTAAACTTTCAATACACCTCAATCACCTTTCCCAAGGTTTTTCAACATTTTGAATTCAATGGTAGCCTTCTTTTGACCTAAAATTATTTAGAAACTTACCTAACTACCCTTCTCAAACTTTAATGACTCTGAAACTAAATTTGACCCGAAAGTCAATTCGCCTGAGACTAAAATTTCATGATCAATCTTTCAACAATGATCCAAAGTTTCTACCATCCTTTTATTTATCTTAAGATGATATTATCTTTATTTAATTATAGTACTGGATCTTACATGATGGTAGTGTTGGTGGAGGGTTGGCAACTTACAAGTTTGACAAGGAAAATGTGAGAAATTTTAGCAAAAATGGTTATAGTGCATGAGTATCCTTTTAGGATGGTAGAATATGAACTTTTCGTGATGTTTCTCAAAGCATTTAACCCGCATTTTGAGCAAGTAAAATGCCATACCATAAAAGGTGATTGCATGAAAATATATTAGATTGAGAAAAACAAGTTGAAAGTTGATATCCTCTAGAAGTTGACCGAATTAGCTTGACGCGGACTTATTGGCCTCTAATCAAACAATCGGGTACATGTGCCTTACCGCACACTTTTTAGATGCGAATTGGAAGTTGCAAAAGCGTATCTTCAATTTTTGTTGCTTGACACCTCCACACACAATGGTTTGTGATAGTGGATGGTATCTACAAGTGCCTACTTGATTGGAGAATTGAAGATAAGGTGTCTACCATTATTTTAGACAATGCATCCACAAATGATGCAACAATGTGGAATTTGAAAGATAATTTTTTTGTCAAAGGGAAGCTTTATTTTAATTATAGAATATTTCATGTTCGGTCTTATGCACATGTTTTGAATCTTATGGTACAAGTAGGGTTGGGTGAGATTAGAGATGTAATTGAAAACATATGTAAGAGTGTGAAGTACTTGAAGATCTCCNTCTTATGGTACAAGTAGGGTTGGGTGAGATTAGAGATGTAATTGAAAACATATGTGAGAGTGTGAAGTACTTGAAGATCTCCCCTTTGAGACTTGATAAATTCACTGATATTATGAAAAAATTACAGAATCCAACTTGTAGGAGGTTAATTCTCGATATGCCTACCCGGTGGAACTCAAACATATGAAAGGTTAAAATCTGCACTTGAGTTTAAAGAATTGTTTCCAACATATAAAGAAAGGGATAGTAACTATAGGTGGTTGCCATCTAAGGATGATGGACACGAACCATAGAGATATGGAAGTTTATAGAAATATTTAGTACTACAAATTGGTTTTCGAGTTACTCTTATCCTACTTCAAATATGTTCCTTTCTAAAATTTGGAAGATCAAAAAGATATTGAATGATCACTTGATCAGTAATTTGATAGTAGAGACGATATGAGACGCATGATTACTAGGATGAGTGAAACGTTTGACAAGTATTGGGGAGACTAACTTCTTGATGGCAATTGCAGTGTCTTAGATCCCAAATATAGAATGAAACTTGTTGAGTTTTACTTCCCAAAAATTTACTACTCTGATGGAGATGTGTATTATGTAGATGTAAGGACTATGAGTCT